CTTCTGATCTCTGTTTTTTGTATTGTGATTGATGTCTAACCTCGAGACGAGCAGTGTTTTGCCGAGTTGACTTGTGTGGGTAACAGTGAAGATTAAGTTGGACACAGTGCAAGAGCTGAATCAGACTAGTTCTTGGGGGAGAGGCGCTTATTTGTGATATTGTAAAAGAAAAAGCTTTGTTAGTCCTGGAGGTCATGATTCCCAATAATGCCGATAGCCTGCAGGTGTGCTGATGATTGTTATGATTTAATGAATCTTGGCATCGCCTGCGCCCTTGCTTTGGTTGTACATGATATTGACTAGTTCTGCTGCCGGTTGCTACATGTGGAACGGATTTTAGGCAGTCACACTTCTAGGCGGCCCAGCTACTTACAACGGGGCCTGCTAGCTATTGCTAATCCTGCGATAGTCCCCCGATAGAACAAACATGGACAGCTCTAAGAGTGGAAAGACCTCAACCTTTTTAAATTAAGACATGTCGGCAAGATCTCATGCTCTTCGAGAGTACCATGGTCAAAGCCTCTGTCGATAATCAAATCCTTTTATGTCCTTGTATATTGTGTGCAGGAAATGAACACAATCATTTGATCCATGCCAATTACTATGCGACGGTCTGTCTACTTTCTGGACTTGGTGGGCCGGCCGCTTGGGGATTTCAGCATTAACAAAGCGAGTAGATATAGCTAATGCTTAACTGCAGAGCTTTTGGTCTTCGTTTTGCTTACATACAAGCGTACACCCAGGACTTGGGCTTGAAGCCAAGGAGGGGCAAGCACGGGGAAATCCTTTCCTGAGGCAACGCTCCGTGCAACTTATCAGAAGGAACTACATGCCTAATAATCCTACTAGTGCCATCTTCTCTTACCTTTGCCCCACGAGCTACTCAGCCGACAACTTTGCGACAAGACCTCATAGCTGTATCAAACAAAGTTGAAGGTAATGGTACACTGTGCCCTACCAAACTCTGGTCCAAAGCCCAGTTTTAACCTAAAAAGCAACGATATCGAAGGATATTCCCAACAACTAGACATACTAGTAATACCAATAGACATCAGATTGGCCTACGCGTTGGGCGGCCTACCTGGATCAGGAAAGGGAATGCGGAAAGATTGAATGTTCGGTCTTCGCATTGAAGAGACCTCTCAGGACAATAAAATAGACTTAACAGCTGCCACGCTGTCGAACTTGGAGGGACCTGACTCAAGGTCCACAGTACCCGATATCACAATCCACAACAAACACCTTGCAACGGAAGAGCGCCACTTTTCGCATACGGGAAAGATTTGGAAATAACGGTCTTCCTGAAAGCAGCCGAAACCGCGATTAATTTGGAAACATAATCCAGGAAAACCTCAAATATAAATACAATTTCGCTGTTGTTAATTCGCTCATTATTGGACTATATCATGGGCCGACCACAACAGATCCTAAGGCATGAATTGATTGGGTAATTATTGCTCTCATAGTTCCCATTCTTATAGTTGTGATTTTGAGTATGCATATGACTTGGAAATGCACAGCTAATCTGTTGCATCTATTAGAAAAAGACCGCGCTGTCGAAGTAGTTCGGTCAGAAGAAAGCTGCAGAATTATCTGATTATGATATCCTGGCAGGAGGCTTGTGAAACGATAGGGAATGCCACGATTACTTGCTCAGAGAAATCTAGCACGCTTACAGGCAATAACATGACAGAGGTAGCTTGTGCTCTGGGACCTATAGATTTGGCACGACGCCTTCCGGTCAGTTGAACCCGTCGAACCCCAGTTGAAGAAATCTCGCAACACCACGAAGGCCTTGTCAAACATACCCTGTTTAGACGGCTCTGTCATTATTAGTGGCGCGGTGAGGGAGCTTTTCGTGCAAAAAATCGCATTGAATTCTATAGCTGTCGAAGGGATCCGGTATAGGGTATTCAAGTTATGGCCAAAGACGAAAACAACTCTTTGTCACACCAGCAGACGCTTTAGGGGGTTCACTTCTCTGAATAAGCAGAGATAAAACGTCTATATACTTCAAATGGACTCCTTTAATCCATCTCGCAGGTGCAAGGCCGATATAATCAGAGGAAGCGGCAGTCGCTATCGTATGCTTGTCAAGGGGCGTCAGAATTGCCCCCAGCCTAAACGAAAGAACTGTATATAAATCAGACTGGTTATTAGCGCAGGTTACTTTCTTCAAAGCAGGAGACGACGGCTTTGCATAACGGTCTGAAAGGAAAGCTCACATTCAATTCGGACGACTGGCTTTGCACAACGTGATCCGCGACGCTACGCTATGATGGCCCAACATCTTGCAATAACGCTCTATACGTCAAAACACTCCCCTTTCTTCTTTCATTTTCTTGTTTTTCCTTCTTTTTTTTAACCCCTCACAACTTGAAGCTTTGCGGAACGGCGAGGGGTACCGTGGCTTCAGTCGAACACAGCCCAGGCTGGTCATCTAGTGTAATCTGTATTGCTCAGATATCGACCATGTAGTACGGAGTCAAGCCATTATCTAGAGTACCCTTCATTTACCTGCCACTTTGTAGTACGCTGTTCTTCTTAGCAAATGGCTTATCGCTGGCTGAAGCTAGTAGCAGCCGAGCCTTGAGCGGTACGGACTATTCCCTCTGTGACAAACTCCAACGATGGGAGTCAAGCATTCATTAAACTAACTCGTGACGCTGGAGAACGAGAATCGGATTTTGCATTGGAAGCGTTGCATCGTACAAGAAGCTTACGAGTTCATGGATCTGGATGAAGGAGAATCGTCCCCTAGTCACGCTCTAGGCTTGCCTCTAACGGAAGGACACCCGGTGGCATTTTATCAATGTACTTAAGAAAGTATAGAACGGTATCTTGCACCGATTCGCCGAAATTGGAACAAGCATAAATTTACGGGCTCTAAATCAAAATCTGCAAGTTTAGTACCACCATGTAGTGATAACACTTCGACCTGAAAACAAGCGAGCATTTTTCAGTTTGCAATCTGTTTATGGAGCTCCAGTGGGTTCAAAGCGACTTGTAATTTCTGTCATCTCAGTCTATCTCTGCTGACAACATAAAGAGAAGCCGGAGGTATGAATCTAGCATTTAAGGTATTATATATAGCACTCCATTTTCTAGGCAGGCTTATGTGTCTTACTAATACTGCGTCATCAGAACCGGCACGAGCATCAACTGCTCGGCATCACCACGCTGTGATTTTTGATAGCCACTAAGACCCGCCTCCAACTTCGAACGCCATGGAAGGCATACGGCTAGGTGAATAAATGACATCATCGATCAGATCATCAGCATATATTTTTTGCACGAGCATGGGGATGTTACACCTCGATTCATGTAACTTATATATTTACACATGGCAATACTTTCAAGGAACTTAAAATTTACGTGCCAAACCCGCAGACTGTCAAAATTACATTCATCCAAAATCGCGTATTAAGGCATTATTACAGACACAATCACAATTATCACTCCATCTCTACACTGTACCGAATCTCTCTGCGGCGATAGTTTAGCAGCAGCATTTACCCAAGCAAGCGTAGCCTCATTGACAACAGGTGCCACTCCATTTCGCACGCCGCGGACTTTAGTAACCCCTCTTTGCCCAGCTTGGCGAAGGAGTTGCAGAGGCAGACAAAGAGACCGAGCTCAAAGCGGCAGCACTTGCTGATACATTCGCAGCAAGGTTGGCAGTAAGAGGCCCGATGAACAGGTTCTGGTTACACGGAGCTGGAGGCGCAGTCACGCAGCCTTGAAAGTATGAACCAAGCTAACCGGGGGCAGTTCCGTTGGAAAGCACGTAAGCAGGGCTGTAGGCAGGGACTAATGAAGTGCTGTTCGATGGAAAAAGGACGGCCTGCTGGTGGCTGGCCATATAATAGGCGTGCGCAGTGTGCTCAGCAGCCAAACGGGCCCACAATAACGAGGCCTCGGGAGCCTGGATGTAACCAGCCAATGCGATGTACGCCCCAGCAACTGACGACTCCAGCTGAAGGGCGTTGCGCACGAAGGTCTCACCATCAATGGCACTCGGGAAGGTGAAACTGCAGTTCTGAGGGCTAAAGCCAGACACCTTCGCGCCAAGTTGCTGCACAGCACGCACGCCCAAACGGTTTTGTCTCTGGATACCTTGGAGGTTGGCGGAGGACTCTGAGTTGGAGCTATTTAGAGTGCTGTTCAAGGTGGTCAGATTTACGGGAACCGAAGAGTAAAACCGGTCCAGGAAGGACGAGAGCGCAAAGCCATAATTAACGGATGGCAAATCAGATGACTGAAGCGAACAGCTTGATGAGGCGGTGTTCTGAGCCACAGCGACACCTGCGAGAAGCAGGCCGTTCAAGGCGGAGACAATGCGCATCGCGATTAATATAATACTATCGATCCGTTGTCTTCAGTGAGGTTTTCCTTTTGTTTTGGACCGGAGAGGATACAGTTCAAGTATATCATGAACAATGAGCGCCGTTGGTTTTCTGAGAGATCCAGCGGTATTTCAACCAACAATAGATAGCATAAGCTACTTTTATAGCTTCCTCCATTACCCATTCTCACATCCTGCTGAGTGCAACCATGTGATTGAAATCCAGACCAGCCCTGTCGAACGCGTGTCCTGAAGATCCCAACAGAAGCGGAGCCTCGACTTCACCACTTGCATCATGACATGGCTGGCTGGAGCCTATTGACAAACTATGCCTTACCTTATAACCTTATAAGGGACGGAAAAGAAGAATATCGCCTCCAGACCTATGCGTCTTACTCTCAGTTAACAGGCCGGTGCACCAATGCGGAATTACTATCCACTATACTTCGAACCCGGTTCATTTGACCCATGGTCTCCTGCGCACTTGATCCTCGCCTAACCTACTGTGGTGATATCATGAGCGCCGTATCTTCCGTATAGTAATGAATAATACCATCCCCAAAAGCTCACATACAAGGGGATTCAGTCGGAGAAAGCGGTAAGCTCATCCTCGCTCGGAATTCTGGATAAGCATTACAAGGAACGGTTCTTCCGAAGCCCGGCGCCAATTAGCAGACTTACCTTATCACACGATGATGCGGGCCCAGATAGACTGCAGATGAGCTCAAGTGCCTACCGCTTCGCGGTAGTGATGATGATCTCAGGGTCTGCATCTGTTGTCATCCACTGGCGGATCTTAGCGGAAGAATAAACTTAAGTTGCGCTAGCCTTGTTTCGCTTACTAGCGGATGCCAAGCGCACCTTCTGTGCCTGACCGGCTGCTTATTCTGTACGCTGTACTCGGATCTCGGAAACAAGGCTCAGTACTAGTCTGGGCGAAGCAAGCAATCTCCGAGCTTGCTTCAGGTACGTAGAACACTGTTCATCTGGATACAATGTTAGTAAGACTCCAAGAGTATACCTAGCTAAAATTACTTCGTGGGTATACAGATAATGAGTTGTTATTCACGATTGCCATTGATCTCTACTTTGGGTTGCAGTCTTGATTGATGCTTGCGTCATTCGAGTTCATTACGAAAAAACCAACCAGTCCTTTAAATGGAAGTTAATTCAGTTTTGGTTGGAACCAGGAACCAACAGAGGCAGCAGGTTTGCTCAGTCTATTGTAAGTCTGGAGCATGAAAACCCGACTATGAGAGGCCCAGACCAATAGAAGGTGAGGAATGCGAGCTCGCTTGGGTGAAGCATGTTTCACTGCAGAGGGTAGGATTTTAAATGATGGATTACGAATCTGACTAACCCGGCATGACATGTGGGTAAGTGATGGTTGCGATGACGAACAAGGTACGGACAAGGTGTCGATGTCAACTTCCGACAGACTGCAAGGGGAAGCCAAGATGGGGATGGCCTGGCTATGGATAATTCGGATGATGGGCCTCTCCTGCTAGTAGTGTTTGGTAATAGCTTATCGTCGTGCAAGTGCCTCCTAGAGATGGTAAAATCAATTCAGCTTCCCTTAGGACGAGAGGTTATGTGGCCGGTCATAATGACATCATCTGACATTCAACAGTCATTATGCGTCAAGAGTCCAAGTTCCCGGATTGAGGTCGATCGGTCCATGAAATTTTGATTTGGCTTATTCTAAACAGTTTTACGCACCTTCAATGGTCCTGGGTGTAATTGAAGTATGGACTGCAGGTCATTCTGGGCAGCATCGGGTAATAGGTGGCGTCAAAGTAGACAACAGTGCGAACTTGAAAAGTCTGAAACTACGTCACCATCCTTTTTGAAGTACCCGTGGCTCTTTTCTTTGCCCTATTACCATTTCAGACATTATACGACGTCTGTCCATTACAATTAGTGACGTAAGACTTCGAGTACCCGGGGGTACTTCTCTTGGCATGTTATTAATATGGTATCCAGAACAACTAATCGTTTGGATACCTGGAGAAGTTCCAGGCTTGCCTTCACCCGTCCAAAATTTTACCAAGGACATCAATTTTTTGGAGCACTTGTACGAAAGCCTACTACTCATGAAGAGGGTGACTATTAAGGTAGCATGAAAGCTTCATGCTCTCTCTTACCGCTTCCGATGTCCTAGTGAAGACAATAGACGGTTGAAACCAGAAGTTGCGCCGGCTTTGTCTAGATTCGAACTGGCGTTCTCGGCAAAAAGGACATCAGCTTCTCGGGATCGACCGTTCCACAGAGCTATGAATTACTCCCTAGGAGGTGTAGCCAATATGTGGACCACAAGGTCTACCGCGCGCCCGCGAGGGTTGGTGTGTGTCTTTCCAAGAATTCGGTCGCGGCTTTCGGTTACCCGTGCGAGATTCCATCAATGCTGATCGACCACTGCTACCGTTTCCAGTCCATGATCTTTTAGGGTGCCTTTCATTCCTCGATTCACTGGTTCTCGAATTGACAGTGATAATTCCTGAATATCCTTATGTCAGGTCGGGGTTATGGGATGATTGATACCATTCAGTTCGCTCAAACGCCGAGCTCCGGATCATCATGCCAAATTCACGTAGAGAAATGGACTGTCTCGAAAGAACCAAATGATATCCAGCAATATATAAAGTCTCCCTAGAAGCTGCTTGCACAAAAATCGCCAAGGTAGTAGTCGTTTGCATGATCACATACAGTGATAAATCATGTGGAATGTTGGACTCCGAGTATCATGCCATGCTCATGAGCCGACACCTGATGACATACAGCCATTTATGTCGTCAAGTGTGTGTGTATCTCCACGAATGCCTCTTAGAAGTTCCTTGTTAAAGACGGCGCGTTTGTCCTGAAAAACTTCAGAGCAGCTGATATCCACGCTACTCCATCGATCGCAAAGTATTGTACTACATGCTGGTAGGCCATGTAACTTGAACACTTGGTGGAGAGTTTGTCAAAAGTGGCCAACCGCCGTTTCAGCAGGTGGTATTCATCGAAAAAGGTTGAATACTCTTCCAGAGCATGACATGCCTTCTCATCCAAAGGAGCATCATCCATACTCGGCGGCTTGTCTTGGGTATGATGACAACATGGAAGGCACAACGCAGTCTGCTCCTTCAAGCCGTCTTCAGGGTCACAATCTCGGTCCGCGTGGTAAGTCCAACTCACGTCTGCTTCGGCGTAATCCAGTGGGGAGAGAAGTCTAGAGGTGTTGGGATCCGAGATGTATGTGGCGCTTTTGCAAAGAGTAGGGCTCGCGGCAAGAAAAAGGGAGAGCGACGTTCCAAAAGGCCGAGGCATTTTGATTGATGGAGAAAATAAGACAATGAAAGAACGAACACTGGAATTCGTTGCTCAATACCTTGCTTCATATACTTTTGCCTGCGTAGGACTCGAGGGACCATTCCACGAGAATAGATCCTGATATGTACCAGCTGCCAGTAGAGCGGGTCCCAGATCCGCAGGAGCGAAAAGGCCGAGAATAGTTCTAGCTGTCATTGAGAATTTTTTAGTGCTGGCTCAACTCCGGACCGGCATGGTAAGATTAAATGGGTATCTCTACCGGATCAATATCGCGCAGACAGACCAGTGTGCATGCGGACAAGCAAAAGAAACCGTGGAGCACTTCCTCTTCCGATGTCGGAAGTGGACCACGCAACGGATCGCACTGCTACAACGTGCCCGTACTCACCGGGGCGATCTCTCCCTCTGCCTGGACGGGAAATCGCCTTCTGATTATCAGCTATGGACGCCGAACTTGGAGGCAGTACGAGCCTCAATACAATTTGCCATCGCTACGGGCCGACTCGACGCCACCTAACCATGTCAACCAAAACATTGACACCCTTCTCCTAACTAACCTACACCAACCACCCTGTGCCACAGATGGTAGACGCGCTTCAACTGCCGAGGATGGGATGTTGAACACTTGAAGAAGCGCCTTCAAGCCAGTCTACTAACAAATATACTAACCCACAGGGATTCCTACGATAGTGACAGCTGAGAGGACATATACTGAAAGGATCTATGTATGGGCTCGAAGGAGATACGGCAGATGTACATTAGAACCTGTATTGATAGACCAGCGATAGTTGCCATTTCGGCTGAGCCGCCGGGCGTTAATGAATTATGTGTGTGTATCAGGACCAGAAATCGATAGCTACATCCTGCCCTGAGATGAGATGGAGCAGGACCGTCTCGATACCATGCACGCTTTAGCCATGAAAGGGCTGTGGCCAGCCAGGTTAGTTCACATGCAGATGCACGATAGGTCAGACCTGACCGACGACACGGTAAAATGGGTTTTCCCTGAGGCGGAAGAGGTTGTTTTTCAGCGGACATCTGCTCCAGGTGATTTTCGGATGTAGGAGGGCTAGCCAGCGCAATTGACGGATGAGAGCATGAAGGATCTGCAACGGTGAGCATGGGGGTACCCTCCACGGTGCTCTCGCCCGGACGCTTTTCCGTTCTTTAATGACCCCGGCAAGCTTTACGGTAACTGGTGTTGGCCAGAATTGATAATTTCGGGCAGATCGGTCCTTTCTGAGGGCACCAGATCCTCATTTGTCCGGGCAATTCCATAGCCGTTGTCATCATTATTGATAGGTCGCCACTTGCCCGGGGTATCAGACATGACTACCTTTATTTGAGGCCCATCAAGGGCTTTTGAAGGAAAGCCCCGTGTCAATTGGTTGAGGGTTGCTCACTAGCACGCGGTCTCGTGTAACGGCTCCTTCACCATACCGCATTTGAAACGTACATACTGAAGCACACACCCTATTAATTCGCAATTACATAGACTTCAGCTGGATCTGAGTCCAGCAATCCTAGTCTTTTGATGGGAAATCATATCCATGGCCGGGCATCGATGTTTTCGGCTCTCTCGCAAGCCTGTTCGGTGAGTGATGATGTAATTGCTAGATTTCCCTGCGTTCATGGAGCTCCTTCCGAGAATTCGGGGCCGGCAGGTGCCATACAGAATCATGTGTGCTAACCTAGAAATGTCAATAGCAGCACTGGCTGCAGGTATATCCGGCAGCGCTTACGAGCTAGGTGGAAACCCAGTATGAAAGCTAACTTGCCTCACGTAATGGGTCACCTACGGTATGTACATGCGTCGATAAGACAGGAATAGACAACGGTCGTACAGTACAACTGCTGTGGAATTTGATAAAGCAAGCATACAAAATTGCATCACAGGGCTTCAGTGCCTCTGTCCCTCCTTAGAACCTGACGAGTCTGTCCACGCTTTATGAAGGCACAGGCGAGAGTAAAAAAAAAAACTCACTTTATCATCGTCCAAAATAATACGATGAAGCTAGAACAATGAAAAGAGTATCACAGATGAGTGTTGTCCCATTTCGAAATGATGCGATGTAGAGACAGAGCGCAGAAGCTGAAACGTTCCCATGAATCGTCATCATACGTGCGAAGCCCTGGTCCTCGTCGTCAACCAAGGAAGGATAAGCTTCTGCAAAAGCGGGTCCCAGCAACCAGTTGCCGGGATTGCGGAAGCGCCTTTCGAAGACAAGATTGATCATAAGCTCGTCCCCATCACCGGAAGATGGGACGCGTTCTGTCGCTTCATAGGGCCAATTAACACAGTGTACGTGCAAAGGGAATGAGCCAGTTCTCGGTGGGATAATCCCCGATACGACATCATCAAATGATCTCGCATCCGCGGCCAGGGCAGGCAGTCTATCCACGACGGACGGGTTGTGAGAAGCTGCGACCGACGAGGGTTGAGCCACTCAGGCAATCGATCATAACCATCAGGGATTGGAAAAATCTGCCACCGCATCATGAGGAATATGGGAAACAGTACAACCACTTATTCTGGGGGGGGGTGGAGATATCCGGGAATGTCCGCGAGATATCAGTGAATACGTTTGATAAGGAATGCGGATAGACGCCTTCCTCCTTACTGAGCGAGGACAAGACCCTGGGATAAGGGGAGCCCACGACACTCTGCTCCAATACCCTCTTCGCTGCTTGATGTTGTCGGTTATGAAGGAAGTCCTAAAGGATGGCGTCTAGAATACATGTAGGAGCAACGTTGCGAATTTAGGTTAGGTGAGCAGGCAAGTGCGGTTCTGCCATCGAAAGATGAGCGGTTCGACAAATATGTTGAAGATGGGTTCGAAGGTGGCCACAGTGTCTCTGAGAAGCGTCAAAGCCCCTCCACTTTGGGTACTCGCTGCGATGCATCAAGCAGGAAATTGAAGCCCATTCGTTCATCCGTTCCGCCAGAGGCCAGACCGTGAGCCATATTATGTCGCTGGTCGTCGAACACAATGCGAGAATAAGCTGGACCGCTCGTTGTGATATCATGGCGTGCCGTGCCAGATGTGACGGCCGCTTGGGCGGTGGAAGAAGATGCCCCTGTGCTCGCAGCAGACTCAGTGTACGGTTGTTCGCCTGCGGCTGACCTCTCGGAATTGGCTGAGAAACACAAGCTGTCAGATAAAGGCGGCGTTGATGTTACTGAGGGAATGTGAGTAGCGGTTCTGGAAGGCGTGGAAGGCAGAGTATTCAGCTCTTGGTCTCCCAGCAATGGCTGAAGAATATCCATGATCGCCTTTAGCCCTTGCCTGATCTTCCGGTTTTCTGCTTGGATGATTTCATTTTGCCTCAATACCGCCTGAAGATCCAAGAACTGCTTCTGCGTCGATAGTTCGCGGACCCGTCGTTCCAGGAGATTAATATGAGCCTTCGTCTTTTCGCGAATGGCACGCTGGGCCTGCCGGTCCCTGGCTCGCTTCTTCGCCAATTGTTCGGGGGTAAGATTCGCTACACCTCGTGCAGAGGTACATTTGAGCTTGTGTTTGTGGCCTGCTAGTGTTTCCGCATCCACGGAGGTCAATGCGGACGGTATTGGGGAGGACTTCTCCAGTTTCACTACGTTCGATCGTAGAGTCGCGACCGGAACTGCGGTGGATCGCCCTTGAGCCGTTGAGGCGGCAGCAGTAAAAGGGAAGGAAGAGGAGGGAATTGCAGGGAATACCTCGATTGTCGCTAGAGGAGTGACATCAGCCAGAGGAAGGTAGGTAGTCATAGTCTCGCTGCCGGGCTACAGGGACGCAACGGCCATTCAAACCGATGGGAAAGCACAACCGAAGCGGATCGGATTCCTAGATATAAAGGAGATTCGAGCCGGCTTGGGTTCACGTTCAGGTGATTTGATTCGCCGTCCCAGCCAATCATAATCGATGGCTATGCGGGAACCGCCCCACCGCTTATGAGCGGTAACATAACTAACCGCTCCTCAAAATTCCGCTCACACCCCTGTCTGAAGGTACCTGAATGCGAGACAACAATAGTACAGCATTGTAAACGTTGGCAGGATCTTTCTTTTCATCCCTGAAGTTGCCGCGTATTATTAAAAAGGTCAAATTTCCGCGTCCCCTGCTCTAGATTCATTTCCCCTCACTGCTCGATAGCACCTATACTCGAGTTTGTAATCGGGTTTGCAGGTATTCAGAACGAGAAATCTAGCATCAATTGACCGCCCTCCGAGTACGTCGACGTTTCACAAAGAGTGTGGTACTGAGGGATATCACCTCGCAAAAAGCTAAAACATGTCCGGTACCTCGATTCCAGCCCTTGAGAGCGATATCAAACAAAGGAATATTGTGGTAGCAGAGGTCTGTACTTTGCGGCTAAGCAAACCGTTGGAATCTAACGACACTAAATATGGTATCATCGAGATACCAACACTGTAGAAAGTATCTCCAATATTGAGTGTTGTTTCTCAAGGATCTGATTCACTACTTTCGATTCGTTGGAAGACGAGAGACCGGCTTTCGGGTTGCGACCGAAACAGATCTCTCATCCCGCTCAGTAAGTCTCCGTTCGCCGATTCCACCCTTCTGAGGTTGATGTTTTGGGAGGCCATTAACGTATGCGTCGGTTTCAAAGCGTACTATGAATCTTAAGTCGCCGAAGTCGTACAAGATAATTCTATTATGTCCAGAACTACTGGAAATCTGGGAAGTGGTGAATGCTTTCTCAAACTCATGACCGTAAACCCTCACTGCGATCATGTGGTCCAATGATCGTGTGTTTCGGTTTCCGCCCGACAAAAATTCGTTCGTATTGTACATGATCTCAAAATCAATGGCAAAAGGTTTAAGTCCATTTTTAAAGATTCTTGAACTGGTGATCGACAGAAATTTGCTAAAATTGTTCCGATAAGTTATCGAGTCAGCTAGATGGACGTTGTATGAAGGACTCCCAATGTACAACGAGCGGAAAAGTGGCTCAAGCGGACTTTTAGAATGACGAAACGCGTTTTGAGCAATATGAATGAGCCCGGAGTCTGGCCACCTTCCTGGGGATCTTGGGTGGAAACCAAAGAGGAGGGGGCAACCAGGGACGGCAATAGGGGGGCTTGGCGATGCGATGCAGTTATAAGACAAATGCTCCTTCATATTGCCTATTGTCTCAGCAACTTCAACTCTGGACGAGGACTGTCTGCGATCCGAATAGAAGTTATAATCTTGATTACTTGGTCCCATTTGGGCCAGTGTAACTCACGTGATTGCCTAATTCTGTTAGGGACGGGACTCCGTCCCCTGTGGCTTAACCTAGCTCCCTCGCTTAGTCATTGTTAGATAGATCTCTGGTCCCGTCCCATCCAATAGACAAGCATCCATCGCTTCACAAAAATCTCGAGTCATGTGATCATGAATTACTGTAACGAAAAGTCCCTGTACGCTTCGAACGTTCTAATTTCTATCACATCGAGATCAAAGCAACTCTTCATACACCGAAGAACCCATCATTGAGAGAGGGCTTCGGTGTTCTTAGATCCTTCATCACGGATCGTATAAACAGTGTACGAGCCGCCACTCCCAAGGCAAAACTAGCGGCGATCTGCGTCCCATCTGTCTTGGGAGCCAGGTCAGCCGGGTCGGCAGCGTTCAAAAGCAGTCCTGCTATACATCGCCTCCACACCCCTCGTTATCCCAACCATGCAACAGCCTGTCGACTAGTTTCCGTCAAACCATCATAAGGCTTAACAACAGTGAGCACCTGCTATAATCCAGCCAACATAATGGATGGACTTCCTATAGAGATAATGGGCATGATTGTGAGAAAATTAGAAAGTAGGGATTTTCTCAATTTTCGCCTTGCCAATAGAAGTCTCCGAGCAAGGTCATTCCAGGATTTCACTAAGAAATTTTTTGAGACGCGACGCCACACATTAAGCCGACATAGCCTTGAGACCCATCGAAATGTGGCTACTCACCCTGCTTTTGGCAGTGCATTGCGTGTTCTCGTGATCCACCCTGATCACCTTACAGCAGATCACCTAGCCAATCCCCGAAATAAAGAAGCCGCTGCGGTGGATAGAATCAGCTATGAACAACATTTAGCCGAGCAGGACCATCTGGCAGCATCTGGCTACGATACTGCATGTCTCGCACAAGCCCTTTCCAAGGCAACAAACTGCAGGACAATATTCATCGAGGATGATATTAACCACCGCCCTTGGGGGGCTCGTTCTCTCGAGAAATTGACCGGTGTTGAACCAAACTCCACATTGGACAGTTCAGAAAGCCGGAAATTCTTTGCTCGCGCTATTCATGTCATCTTCGCTGCTGTTGCTGCAGGTTGTGTCCCACTGCAGCGCTTTGAACTCAATGTGGGGTTGTCTAGAGTTCCAGTGGACCCAGGAATGCTACAGCTTCCGGATTTCTGCCTCACTATGAGTCCTATTACTTCGACACTCACAACCTTACGTATCACAGTTGGCCCACCAGAGAGGGAAAGTGCGTTACCCTGGGCAAGGCATCTAGTACGATTTATCGTGCAGTTTTCCGGGCTTGAAGTGCTACGTCTAGGGTTTGATTCTCGTATTCAAACAGGGGATTTTAAGGCGCCAAGCGAAGGCATTTGCCTCAAGAATCTCCTCGTCTTGGAGATCGACACAGTCAGTGGTACGAAAGACCATTTAGCTAGGCTACTTCTTTCCCATAAAATGACTTTGCGCGACGTGTATCTGGAATTAATCGAACTTCCAACTCTAGAATCCTGGAGATCATTACTTAAGACCATTCGGGATGAACTTTGTTTAGACCGCCTTGAGATCACGGACTGTGAAGCCAGTGATCGTATCATTATGTTCGGCGACAAGCAGTTATCGGATTCTACTAGCATCCAAGGAGGGAAAGAAGCTTTGAATAATCTCATTGGGACACTAATCTTGGGGAAGATGATCTGAGCCACTGTTGGGTGACTGAACATGCTCTTGCGGAGGCGGATGCCAACCAGGTAAGCTATAAATACTCGGAGCTAGACGCGAAATCGAATAAAAAATTATCAAAGCATTTCGGTCGGCGGGGGCTGGTTGATGAGATGTATGTATCTCTAGCAGCTTACCTAGAAGTCGTGTAACAGTTCCTCCGCTCAAGCCTGCCGTGCAGACGGGCTCTTGCAACATGTACGGTTCATGTTGCAAATGCGTATTTACTACTCGGTCTAAGATAAAGACCACGACGTCTTGTGGCGGCATGCTTTGCAACGTTTCCGAATAGATGTCACAAGCTTGAGATACTGCCATTCTGTTTATACTCCACCTTTTCGAAGCCGGGCTTATATTTCGTCGCTCCGACGCAGCGAATACGCTGCATACTGTCCGAGATGCAACCAAGGGCCCAAGGGCGCTTCAACCACTTCACATCCTTTGACAACCAAGCGGCCACTCAGATCATTTCACAGCATGTTATGCAACTCACTGTCACAGTGGTTGACTCAGCGCGACCGGAGCACAACCAGAGCTTTGTCGCGCGCCTGATGAAAGAAGATGTATTTCTCATCATGGATGACATGCTGAAGCCGCGTCCCAGACCAGCTCAAGTTCATCATTTGCGCCACTAATTTGCCGTGGTACCAATATGCCACGCGAGGCTTGAAGTCCCCCAGACAGTGCTGTTCCTGTAAGTTCCTAAGGTGGTGATAATTGTCCAGAAGGCGATGATGCTTGTCCAGTCGTTGCTTTCATGATCATAGTGTATCCGCGAAAAAGGAGGGTGGCTTTGATAAGATACCCTGTCCGACCGCACACGTGCAGCTGTTCGAATCCTGGTTCTCGATCTCGTTCAAGTTGACGACGGAGCTGGCGTGTGAACTCCTGCGGTCCGAGGGAGTCTCGGACCACCGTGGAGTTTCCAATTGTGGCAGTACTTATCCATAGGTTCTCAGTTGACCAAGCCGCGGATGCAGGCCATGGTGCAGTATGGTCGCGTAGAATGTCCGTCTTTCTGAGAGGTCTCTTTGTAGCCCCGGCCGGCTCGTGTCCTTTCGCCTCCCCGGATTGATCGGTGGTGGTTGCCTAGGCCGCAACTCGATCGGCTGCGCGACGCTGCTGCGGCAGACGGCGAATGCGATTCTTGATCACTGCCGCTGCCTTCAGCAGACGAGTGCTTCGGGTTGACAACGCGCGTGAGCGCGAGCGCGAGTTGTGTACTTTCCAACCTCGTTTCCAGCGAGAGGGCCGATAAGTAGACGCCCGCAGGTCTTGACCGAGAGTTTCGGGAATCTCTCAACACGTCGACAGAATAGTCCACCGGGTCTCGCTCAAAATCCCGAAGAGATGCTTCCGAATTCGTCGGTCTGTTCTAGATATTCTCAACAACATAATCGAACTGGGTACCAGAAGGGGACAGTGGGCGAGAGGTAAAGGCAGTGGTGCGGTCGAAGTTCTCCCAGACTTGTTCCTGTAGGTGGGAGAAGCACGCCAAGGGACGATGTGCTTGGGGTAGAGTCGGTTCACGGTTCACTGGGTCGGCTGCGTCGCCCTGAGTCGTGAAGGTCGCATCCGCCCCATTTTGGATCGCGTAGAACAGAGTAATGTGGCAGCGATCGAAGGTTGTTAGGTGCACTCGCCGTTCGCGCCTCATCTCGCGCTTGTCTTCCTCCTCATGGCGTCTCTGCCGCTTCTCACAGCATTTATTGTTCTTCAACCCGACGTCGTAGGCGATTGTTTCCTCCATCCCTTCGAAAGAGTTATTTAAATGATACCTGAGTCAAATAATTTCCACGGCGGAAATGATTTCTATCGGGCGCGGGGAATAGAATAGGGAAAGCGTGTCTGGTTGTTTACCAGCTTACTCACCCTTCGGCCGGCGTCCATAGTTGCCTCAGGCAGAAATATACGTCCGTTTCTGGCTCAATTGTCCCCGAAATAGTGCGCCGGCTCGATGATACCTAAATTTGCTATGTAGTAGTCAGTAAAGTTCGGTCCCTCCCCTAATTCTTAGCAAATGGAGACACCGTAGCTAGACGACTCTTGATTGCGTCACTCTCGATACTCACAATCCGTCTATATAGGTACTGTAGAGGATGCTTCCATTGTACGATCTTGCTCACATGAAATTGTACAACCAGGGAATTAGTGAGCAAGTACGCTTTCCAAACACAGTGAGTTGTTGGCTTACCTTTCTCATTGACTGCCCGTTTGCTTGACGACGCTACTGGATGATTTAATCTTTGAGGGTTCGACACAACAGTCATTGCCCATTGATTGGAGCTCATCGACAAGTGGAGAAAAAGCCCGTATTTCCCCGTCTATTATTAATACACCGCGAGGCTGCCTCCTTGCTGTGGATTTGCCGGCCAGGGGCACATGGTGGCCATATACGAAGAGCCAAACCCGACACTACGTCCCGAAATGACCATGCCCTCGCAGGGTATCGGCACCAAGACGTCAGGTCCTCAATCAAAGACGGGGCAGACTAGGGAAAAGAAATGATCGGCGTGGACATGGCAGGGTGAAGATGTGCGCGACTGGTGGGACCGCGCCGCAGGTCAATAGGCGTCTCAAGTACACCGAAATAGTTGGAAAACGGGTTGCATGTCTGCGCAAGTGGGCTTTGCCACTTGGAAACAGTCGGGAAACCGTGGTCCAACAGAGCACCATGATTGCCTGTTCCTTCTTTCGTCGGATTTTCCAGTTTCTACAGCACCTCTGCCTGCACCCAACTGCTAATTGTTGCCCGACGTCATATCCCGTATCGTGTGCGAGATTGTCAAATGTTTCAGAAAGCCTTGGGAAGCTTCTGATCTCCTAGACTTTTTGGAACATAGAATTGAAACTCGATGAAAAGATTCGGATCACCGGGTACCACTAAACCTTGAAATCCATTACTCTGTATCAGGCTTCTTGATTGGGGCCACGCTTTGCCCTCAGAATAAAGAAGAGAGCGACCCTCGACGAGAATGAAAATTCATCTGCGCCCTTTGCCGTGGACGAATGAGATGGCATTGTGTCGGGTGGGTGATTTCCCTGGCTCACTGACCCGGGTCTAATGAGTAGGAATTCCTCGGCAACGGTGACCGGCACGCTCAAATAAGGTTGATTGGGGCTTTTCTAGTCACCAGCTCCACCGCTGGGATTTCTTTACTCGCTATTCCAATATGGGGACCACTGGTATTTTCTTAGGTGG